CTTTTGTATCTGAAGTTATGAATATTGACTATGTATCTGTATTTTCAAATGTAGTTACACCTGGGTAACGCCCACTAGAAAATATGTTTTCAGTCTAGATAGTGGGTGGGGAAGGGCCATTAGGAAAAAACAATAGTCCTCAGGAGAAGCTTATCTCCCATCTGGAGTACCTTCCTGAGAACGCTACAGTCAGCCTCCGAGTAACGGCTGCTATGACTCTACAAGGACATATGATGAGACCACATGTCTCTGGACTCCATCTTGGGATGTCAATATTTTTCCAGAGACTGGTCTGGAAACCAAGCTTTGGGAACAAAGGGTTCCCCCCACATGCAAAAGCTATATAAGGCAGGGAGTGACATCATCTGGTCTGTGTTCTTCACTCCTCACACAAGACGAATCCTGGAAACCCCTGAGGAACAAAGACTGAACTGGGGGAAGTGCTGGACCCAAGGTAAAGGGATTTTTAGCCTGTGAATGAAACACCTGGGGATTCCAAACTGTAAAGCAACTTCAGCTTGCCCCTTAAGAATCTTCAGTCTGCTTGTATCATCTCTTAGGGTGAGACTTTGCTATTCATATCCAATCGATTTAGTATATCAAGCTTAGTTTGCATTTTTTGTTTATTTGCTAAGTAATCTGCTTTGATCTGTTTGCTATCACTTATAATCACTTAAAATCTTTTGTAGTTAATAAACTTGTTTTTACTTTATCTAAACCAGTGCGTTGAAGTGAAGTGTGTGGGAATCATAACTCAGGGGCAAAGGTTGTTACATATTCCTCTCCACCTTGAGGGACGGAGCTTACGCTTTACAGTTTTTTTAATGAGTTTATGCTGTACAGTTCCCTGTGCAGCACAAGACAGTATAATTTTGGGTTTATACTTCAGAGGAGGTGCGTACCTGAGGAGTTGGGAGTTGCCTTATCTGTAGCCTTCCTATGCAGGGGCTGGTCAGAGAGCCTGCATGTAACTGCAGCTGGGTGTCTCCCTACCTGTATGTATGCTGGCGAAAGTGCAGGCTGGAGGGCTTTGCAGCTTGTCACAGCAGTACAGTGTGAGAGGGAGCCCAGGCTGGTGGGTCATGGGGCTTAGTGATACCCCAGTTCCAGATGGCACCCAGAGGAAACCCGTCAGAAATCTATTTTTACTTTTAAAAAGTTTCATAGGTTAGATATTTTAGTTCTATTCTAAGAATTTTCAAAAGGGCCACCAAGTAAAATGAAACCACAGTCAAATAAAAGCCACAACAAACATATTATTAATTTGCCACCCAACACAAATAAGTAGTCCTCACAAAACACAAACTAAAAACATTTTAGCCTTATCCAGAATGAAGTCACTGGGCTTTTCCCTTTTTTTTTTTTTTTTTTTTTTTTAGTAACTGCGGATTAGAGTGGGAGCAGGTATGATGTGTAGTTGTTCTAGGCATTATTTTATTAACAAGAAATAATTTTCCTTCCATTGCATCACTACTAGTCTACACATTGCCAGCTGTATCTTTAGAAGGCTACTTTCCAGCTTCAGAGAAGATGATATATTTTTAACACAGTAACATTTAAAATGGAAAGTATTTTCTATGTATAGCATTATGCAATTTAAAGTTCAATGCTAAAAAATAGATTCAAGAATTATTTGGCTTCCTACTCTGGTGCTTAAGAAGATTTTTTTTTAATATATTTATATCTAGATTTCTAGACACTTGATAGACTGTATTTTATTGGTTTAGAGTAAAACAAACATATATTGTGTTTATCTGTATGTTTTTGACACTTACAAATTATTACTAGATACAAATCAAAATAGATATACAGCTGCTTTCTATCTTAACATTGTGATAACTCAGAAGATGACATGGTTCTATATGCTTCAGAAAATTCAACCCAAATGATAACATAGTCTGTGCTTAACCATGGATGTTTATAAAGGTATTTAATTTGTTGTAGAACATGATGAAGAAATATGAATTACAGGAATAATTAACTTGCTGAAAATTATTACATTTAAAAATGGGTACGGGCCCTTTACCTAATAGTTTTGTTAGTTGATCAGAAGTTATAGTTAAGGGCTATTTACACAGTGAATAAAACGCGCTATTCTGTACTGTAGTATATGAAACATATGGTAAATAGAAATTATTTTTGCTTCTAGTTAATCATTTAAGGGAGTATAATGACATACATTTACTTGTAATAGCTAGACAGACAGATATATTCCATTACAAATAATTAAAGGGAGTTCCTCAGCACATAAACCATTTCATCAGCTGTTCTTAAACACCCCACTAGTAGAGATCAGTATTATTAATAGCCAACATTGTTGTTTTTTCACCAAATACTGGAATGTGACAGTGCCCAGCAGCAAATATTAAGCTGAAGTCTTAATTGTACACAGTTGCTTTTACTGTTCTGGTATGCTACAATTGCTAGGACTGCACTGCCTTTTTGAACACAGAACAACACTCTTTCTTGCTTTGAACTTCCCCAATTCAAAATGTTTCTACATCAATAAAGAAAAGCGAACATGTAATAGTTGTGTTTAAGGCTATTGGAACTTGACAGAACTCTACCCTTATCATGAGTTTAAACACTTTTCTGGTATGCATTATTATATAAACAGAAAAGTACATGCAAAGAATGACTCTCTCTTTAGGGACTAAACATAAATACACCACCACTCTTCTTAATCAACATCTAAAGCAAAAGTGTGGCTCGCTTCAGCCAGGTTCAAGATGGGAAGAAGAAACAATACACGATGTGCAGAGAGCACAAAGGTGGCTTAAAACCATTGTAGGGATAAATTGACCCTAACTCTGAACTCAACTGTAAAAAGTATATAAATGTTCATAAATATCAAAATAACCTATTATAACAAATGTTAATAAAAGTAACAGAGGGTCCTGTGGCACCTTTGAGACTAACAGAAGTATTGGGAGCATAAGCTTTCGTGGGTAAGAACCTCACTTCTTCAGATGCAAGTAATGGAAGAAGAAGTGAGGTTCTTACCCACGAAAGCTTATGCTCCCAATACTTCTGTTAGTCTCAAAGGTGCCACAGGACCGT